TTTAAAAAAAAAAAAAAAAGATTAGACCACCCATCAAGTCATGTTATATACTGGGGAAAAAATTCCCCAAATTTCTGTCCACACACACAGAGATGAAATTAAACTTTTTATATGGCCACTTGCCAATCTTACACAGAATTTATATGAGGAACAAAAGAGTTAATAAATGTGAATGTGCTCTGTAACTTAGCGGGCACTATGCACATGCTAATTATTATTATGCATGAACAGTTACCATCACACCAAATGCTAACCTCTTTCCAGCTAGCTCTATCTCTAAATGTGTTTAGATATAACAAGTTAAAAACCAAAATAACTAAGGGAGGTAGAGTATGATAAAAGCTTGGTACAATCATTAAAATAAATACAAGTGAGGGGCACCTGGGTGGCTCAGTTGGTTAAGCGACTGCCTTCGGCTCAGGTCATGATCCCAGGGTCCTGGGGTCGAGCCCCGCATCGGGCTCCCTGCTTGGCAGGAAGCCTGCTTCTCCCTCTCCCACTCCCCCTGCTTGTGTTACCTCTCTCACTATCTCTGTCAATTAAATAAATAAAATCTTTAAAAAAAAAAATAAATAAAATAAAATAAATACAAGTGGACCAAAGTTTATTATTTCAGGATCCAGCCCTCTAAAGAACTATCAGCCCTACAAATTGGATTCTAGAAGGAAATAAGCCTGAATTTACAGACCTAGAATAGGAATAAAAAAAGTTAATCCAAAAATAAATAAAATCAGGTAGGCCAGTAAGAATTCTAGTCCCAGATGAAAACCCAGCCTTGATACTAAGCAATGTCATTATTCTACAGGGAATTGTGGATTCTTTTCTTTATCTTGACCCTCAGCCATTTCTTTGGTCTTTAGTACTCCTGAGACTTGGGAGAAGGAATTCCAGAAAGTTTCTTAATACAAGTTAATACAAGTCCTTCATTTCACAACTGGAATTAAGTTTTTAAATGCAGACGATTGATAACACAAGCATTTAAAGCACATCAAAAAGTGCACATCTGATATTGGAGCCTCGCGGCAGAGTGGTGTTCCCTTGGGAAGGAGTAGAGCTGGTCCACACACTGGGGGCAGGGGGGTGGGGGGGTTAGGGTGGGATGGATGTATACTCGAAAAAAATTGAGTTCCTGAAGATGGGAAGAAGGTGAAATCAGGACGTGAGGACTGAGTGAAGAGATATTTGCATGTCATGTTCACAGCAACATTATTCACAAAAGTCAAAAGATGGAAGCAACTCAAGTGGTCATTGACAGATGAATGGATAAACAGAGTGTGGTGTATACACACAATGGAGTATTACACAACAGTAAAAAGGAAGGAAATTCTGATGTATGCCATAATATAAATGAACCATGAAGTGATATAAGCCCTTCACAAAGGGAAAAATACAGAATCGTTCCACTTAATATGAGGTAACTAGTGTAGTCAAATTCATAGAGACAGAAAGTAGAATGATGGTTTCCAGGAGCAGTGGGGAGGAGGGAGTTATTGTGTAAGGAGTTCAGAGTTTCAGTTTTGCAAGATAAAGAGTCCTGGAGATGGATGGTGATGATGGTTGCACAAGAGTGTGAATATATTTAATATCAATGAACTGTACCCTTAAAAATGGTTACAATGGTAAATGTTATGTGACGTGTATTTTACCACAGTTAAAAAAAATATTTTTTAACCAAACTAAAAGTTCTTCTAGTTATAATAAAGGAGAGAGGGAAGCAATTTGTCTTCTTTAAGACCATGCCTAGGTCTTGTCCTACTTTTTTTCTGCCACCAAAGGGTTAAAAAAGGATTTTCTTTCAATTGCCTTTATTTTATTTTATTTTTTTAGAATAGTTTTAGGCTCAGGGCAAAATTAAGAGAAAGGTACAGTGATTTTCCATATTCCCCCCAATCCTAACACACACATAGCGTCCCCCAATAACAAATCTCCCACCAAAGAGGTACATGAGTTACAACTGATGAACCTTCACTGACGCTTCATAATCACCAACGCCCATTTTACAATGTGATTCCCTCTGAATGTTGTATAGTCTGCGAGTTTGGAGGGAAATGTTTTTTCAATTATTCACATATATTAAATTATTTATGATAACTCCATTGCATTAGAACTCAAAATCCACAGAAGAGTATATTAAATGTGCACTGAAATAACAGAAATGTAAACATTTGCTACTCTAAGTGCGGGCTGGAGACCAGCAACACCAGTATCCCCTGGGGTTTTTTAGAAAAGCAGAATCTCAGGCCCTTCCCCAGACCTACAGAAAGTCAGAATCTGCATTTATCAAGATCCCCAGGTGATTGTCCATTCAAGTTTGGGAAGCACTGTTGTAAACTATCTATGACTACAAACTGAGCAAAAAATCATAATGTTTGACCGGTTGAGATGGAAGGAAAATATGTCATTAAAGCTGCATTATTTTATTGTGAGTTAAATGGAGGAAAAGGTCCATGTTTTATTCTTCTTTACATTCTTAAAAATAATGAAAGCCAATCCATTTATTGCCTTGAACATAAAAAATGCTTAAACTGAACCACAAGTTTGATTTGATATGTCGATGACAGTGTTCTTGGAAGATTCTACAGAATCAAACAGTTTTGATCAAAGTGAAATGATGAGAAGACACAACAAGCCAAGCACAAATATTGGAGTGGCTGATGGTAGGTTTGAAATCCCAAGAACTCATCATTATAGCAGAACTGATGCAGGATATAATAATAATTATATGACTTTAAGTACTGATCCTTATAAATGTTCAAGAACAATAAAATTCTGGTCACTGGTGGGGCACCTGGGTGGCTCAGCCAGTTAAGCATCTGACTCTTGGTTTGGGCTCAGGTCATGATCTTAAGTTCCTAAGACAGGAGCTTTGTGTGGAGCCCCTCCTTGAACCTCTCCTTGAGCCCCATGTCATGCCTGCATAGGGCTCCATGCTCAGTGGGGAGTCTGCTTCTCTCCCTCTGCCCTCCCCCACTCACATGCTGGCTCTCTTTCTCTCTCTCAAATAAAAATAAATAAATCTTAAAAAAAAAAAATTCTGGTCACTGGTCATGTGAGAAAAACCACTAACATCCACAACCAACTGTATTCACTTAACGAGACTAAAATGATAGAGGACAGAAAAGATGTCCCAAAATGTTCACTGAACACAAAAGGGAAAAAAACTGACCCATGTAAGTATTTAAATTATTAAAATAGAGTAAGAAAGAGAGGAAATCCATGTTTGGATTAAGAAAGCCTTCTCCATGGGATTTTTTTTCCCCTTGGGATTTTTCCCATGGGCTTATTGTGATGTGTTTCCCGCATTACCTCTGCGGTACTTAGGCTGAATGCTAAGTTTACACTTCACACTGGACACAAAAAAGTAAATTCCTGATAAGATAAAAATTAACAACTATATAGATAAAACAAAGATGATTGGAGGAGCAGGAGGGGTGAATGAAGTTAGATTCTGTCCCAGACACCAGGGCATTCGTGGCTGGAAAACATATCTCCACTTAATGATGATAATCTCCGTCATAGTGAGCTCTGTCCTCTTTCATTTTCTTTCCCTCTGGCAAACTTCCATTTGCTCTGGCTTTTGCAACAGTAAGAATAAGTAAATTTGACTCAATCAAACCAAATATTATTTTACAAGAACAAACTGGAAATCAATCTAAGGCTTGGCTTGTTGTTTTTGAAATCGATTCTAATTTTAAGCAACAATTCAGAGAACCCCTGGAGGTTTACATGAGCTCATCAGTAGCAAAATCATTTTTAAGTAATTTTAAATGTTTTCCAGAGCAAGAAAGAAACTCTTTAAACTGCCAAACCTCTTGGCACATTCCACATGCCCCAACGAGTGTTCTTGTTCCCCAAGTGAGAGGAGAATTGGAAGTAACAACTCACTCCATTGCAAAACTAAAGGTGGGATGTTTGGCTCCCGATTTTCTGGGTTGAAATGACATGAGGCATCTTAGAACTTCATTTGGGGTCCACAGATGAGGTCTTCAGAGATAAATTTAATACTGCCATAAATGTCTTACTCTCACTTTATCAATCACATAGAACAATAGTTATTAACATTTTATTGAGCAAAACTACAGGGTAATAACTCAAAAATGGGGGGAATGGGGTTAAGACTCAAGAAGTCACCCTCAGGCTGTGATAAATATCTGCAGCCTTAGGTAACTGTCAGCTGAAGCAATCTGAATAGTGATTTTGTTTAAAGCTACACTGAAAGCCTTTGGCCCTGGTGACAATGTGGGAGCGTCAAGCTGATCCCCGCACACCAACGGGTCATGACTGTGCCCACCTCTCAATGTCTGCTGTTGCCAGTCCTTAGGAAACAGTGAAATAACAGAGCTGAGAGGAGTTCAACCATACACTCTCATGGTTTGAACCAACCGCACCTGACAAGTGAACCTGCTCTGTGACCCCTTGCCACCTAGAAATCATAGAAAGTTCAATCTAGGAAGGAAGCTTGAGGCCCCAAATACACATCTCATCAGGAAAGGAAACCAGGACTCAGAAAGCTAAAAGACATCCATCCCGAGAACTCAGGTCATCATCTAAATAAGATCTTAAACTTGATTTTCCCGCAAATTAATTCCCCTTTGTCCAATCACGTAAAATTATGATTCTAGAGACATGCAGACCTGTTCTATGTTCTCCTTAAAGCTATTTTTGCCTCAGTCTTGAACAGCTAAATTTACATGCCCTCTAAAATGCAAAACTAAGGCACTATAAGGTATCTCCCGTGGCCCCCAGTGAACACTGAGAGCACTTGAAACTACACAGAATCACAGAAAAATACAGAATATATTTCACGGACACTGGTTTTTCATGTAGACAGAGACAACTAGGTGCTTCTGCAAATACTGGGTCTTTTAGAAGACAGTGTCAACTTTATTGCTTTTTGAAACGCTGTGTAAAGCACAGAACTTTACAGTTTGCACATAAGCAATTTCCATCTTTAAGTTTAAATATATTTATGTGAGAAAAGTACATGCATATGAATAGATATAATTTTTTAAATCATCACCATTTACATTAGAAATTTCTTTATACAAACATCTTAGCTTTTCTTCTTTAAAAAAAAAAATTAGCAACTGGTAAGACCCCTCTGAGATGGCAGAAAATCCAGCTTTCTGTGTAAGCAACCTTTCACTGAGAGACGTGAGTGATGGCAGATGAAGGCCTCTTAAGAATAGACTCAACAGAAAATGACAGCGGTTCATTCACAGAGAGTTTTGTTCCAACTTGTTTGGCTACGAAAAGGTCTTTGGCATATCTGTCTATTGTAAATGTGTACTTCTGGTTCTCCTTGACTAAACACTCTCTGTGTTTCTTAGGGCCCTCTTCAAAGGCCTCTTTGACAAATGGTGTTTTCAACTCAGGACCTGATTTGTCATTCAGAGTTTGCTGGAATAATGAGTGGAATGGATTATGTTTAAGTGGCAGAGGGTGCCTGGTGCTTTCTTTGCTGATCTTGGTTAAGATGTGCCCTTGAGCTGCCAGGGAGTCCGAGTCAACAATGGGAGAGAAATTCCGTCTGGGTGGGGAGAATGCAGACCTCTCGGGGACAGCCTGGTGACCCTGAAGGTCACCTCTCGCGGTCTGGACCTCCGGAGCGTGAGGCAGAAGCAGCGAGCCTTCTAGTTTGGGGGGCATCACGTCGTGTTCTGCCACAAGTCCATCCTGGACTCGCACCCCCTTCAAATCCCAGCTGGCCCCAGGCTTCAGGGCTTGAACCGAAGTGGTGGTGTTTAGCAGGCATTGCTGATAGAGAAGAGTGTCGCTGATGGGGCCACACTTGGGCCAAACTAAAAATCTCGAGGACAAGGGATACTGTCTGTAAGTCGTGGCCACACTGACATTGGAAGAAATGAATTCCATATTCCCAGTCCCTGAATACTGCATGGTTAGGTCAAGGCAGGTGGGCAGAAAATTGCAGAAGTCTTTGTTTGGCGGTTCCACTGGGGTGGGGCTATAGGTGCTTTTGTAGGAGTTATATTCAGGTCCGTGCACCATGCGGTTGGGCAGGAACAAGGCAGCAGCTTGGGACGCTTCCAGCATCTCCCTCTCTTTATATTCTCTCTCCAGCATAATGTTCTCCAACTCTTTATCAGCAAAGGCCCGCCTTTTCCGCATCCGGTCACTTACCGGGGGAGGTAGGGGTAAGCTCCCTCCCACGTAAGTCTCGGCTGGAATGGGGCGGTAGCCTAAAATAAGCAAGCATTGCACAGGAGAAGAGATTAACATCTAGGGAAGACAAGTCTGGAAACCGAGAAGGCAACAGAAACACTGCAAGTCGGCGGAACAAGAACACTTTACAGTTCCAAAACATTCATCTTTTACACAGAAAGCAAAAGTATAGGCCAGGTTTAAAATGGGTCTCTTTGGGGAGCAGGAGAGCCATATGGTAACTGTCTGTTGTTGTTTCATCATCACAGGCTGAAACTGTAACACACTTCCCAGGCTCCTACACAGTAAGAGACAAGCCTGCTCATCTTGCTTCAGTCAACGCTTTCTTACTATCTGTGTCATCTTTTTCCATTATTAAAAAAGATCTCTATTCCTAAAGCTGATGGCACTGCTCTTTTCTAAAGATGGTTCATTATATACACATTGTTACAGGTGTAGAAAAATCCAAGAAGAACTAGGGAAAAAGAGAAAGTTACAGCAGATTAGTGGGGAGAAAAAGAGAAGAGAGACTTAAGGAAACAGAGAAACACAGAAAATTGAAAAGAGCTGTTAACTAGTCCAGCAGACTCTGCCGTGATTTAACCAGGTCCCACCCCCAGGCTGGAGGTAGGAACAAGCAAACAACAGTAAAGGCAGAGGAGAGACCAGCAGCTATATTGAAAAGAACTGATCTAAAACATTTTTCCCAAGTTCTGATCATGTTGGCCAGATACCAAAATGATTGAACAAGCAAACATTACAATATAAAGTCAGTGCACATTTTATGAATAAGGACAAAGTTAAATAAAAAAAAAAAAAAAACGAAGATTAGCATGACATAAATAGAATTCCTGGCAGCATAAAAGTATTTCACTAATGCCAAGCACTGGCTGCTCTCAAATTTGTTTGAAGGATCCATTGTGATGTTTGTTTACATAGTGACAAACCCATCATCCTCATTTGCAAATAAAATAAAATTTGAAAATTAATGTTTCCAGTTCCATGGTAGGTTTTGCCAGGATGTTATTTACTTGAATTTACTATTCTATTTAGCCCTCCCACTCCTCAGGTTGCTTTGGCACCATTTCAATCTATCCGTGTGGTCCCTATGGCTATAAATCTGTTTACCCAGTTTGTAACCGAATTCATTAACATGAGAAACCATTCTAAGGTCAGAAGTATACAGGACAGGGCAAGACTATGAACAAGCTTTAAAACCTGTGTAGAACCAACTCAATTCAAAAGCCACATAAGAAAAAAGCAGAATTCAAATATCTACTTAAAACAAAAAAACCTGCTTTTCAACCTGAATCTTATGAAGGGACAGCGACTAGAACAAATATAAACTTTCCTTTATTTACATGGTGAAAGGTGATCAATGTATTACTTATCAGGCCAATAAATAAATTCCATCCCCAGTGTTGCTTTTAAAAATCAGCAATATTTTAAGAAAAATTAATGTATCCCCAGGCTTTAGAGAAAATGAAAACATGGTAGAGAGACAGAATTCACGCTGTTCAAATTCAACTTCAACCTCCACTTATCTCGTGTGATTCAAAACCTCTTCCAGATTCTACAATCTTGACTGTCAGAAATGGTAAACTGAGATGTGAATAACCACAATTATGTAGCTAATCCACGGAGGAATACAGTACCGTGAAAAAGAGTGGTATTAGAGGTTGGATCAGCCAGACTAGAGGTCTTTATCGGTGTGGGTAGCTGTTCACCTCCTTACTTGACCTATTGTAGCTCCAAGGACAACCAAATAATTTTTTAAAAATTTATTTCCTTCTTCACTCCACGATCAGGTGGCAGTGGATCTTTGCACATCCCTCATGCTAGGGCAAATTTCAAATGCACTCCATGTTAACCCCTTAACTATTAAGCAGACAGCAACTAATAAGCAGACAGCAGAATTATCGATGACGAAAACCTCAGGAGGTATGTGAGATCCATTTTCCCACATCCTGATTTCTTCCCTAGAGCAAAACTTCCTAATAAAAAGCACCCTCCCCTCAGACTGCTCCTTCACAGGTTAATAAAAATGCCATATGTGTGAATAATGGGAATCCCTCAGAACTTGGTTTAAAAGGCTGAAGGATAATTCTACATTGCTTTACCTTCTAAAATGCTTTTGGCCAGCAAACTGGGTGCCCTGACTTGCCTCTGATACACAGCTTTGCGCTCGAAATTATTCTGCTTCCCGGAAAGCCCCTTCTTGTCCTGTAAATACAAGAAACATAATCAATAATGCTCTAAAAGAAATTGTGGGACAGGAAGGAGTAGGAAGGGTTATCAGCAACCCCCCCAAATGTATTTATTTTCCCAACCCATGTCAAAAAATGACTCTAAACAAATTTACACCAGCACCCCTTAATTCCAGGGCAACAGGCTGGAAGCTCTGTCTGAAGCAGCCAACTTCAGTTGATGGGGAGTGGGGCAGATTTTCTTTAGGGTCACTTTGCTAGAGTCACCCCAGATTCATCCCGCAGCCAGAAGTTAGGGGACATCCCACAGGAAGGCAAAATCCACAGTGGAGACCATAGGAGCCAGGCCCTGAAGGAGAGCTGTGGGGGAAAACTGTGTCCCAGGCACCCAGAGGTAGGGCCAAAGGTGCCCATGGCCTGCCACGGAGCAGTGAGGCGGAGCTGGTTTCTCCTCGCAGTAGGGCAGGTGCGATGGGGCGCAGGGGGTTGAAGGAGAAGTATGAGGGTACCAGTCTCACAAACTCTCCCGAGCCTGGCCCAAAAAACTGGGAGACTGGGATACAGGAAGGCTAGCACCCTCAGACGGAGGGACAAGGGGAAACCCGACTTGGCTCCCTCCCTCACCGCCAGGTCGGTGGTATTCTGGGCCCTTCTACGCCCGCGAGGGACCCAGGAGACACCGGCGAAACGCACCGCAGGCGGGAGCAGGCCCAGCCCAGGGCCAAGGCCACCTGGGGCATCCAGCGCACACTCTCCGGAGCCTTGGGAAACTTTCCAGTAGGGTCCCTGCCTTCTGTGTGTAGGGTGATCCACTCCTCACTCCCCCCTTGCCAAAAAGTAAAAGCAAAAATCTTCCCACGCCCTGAATCTGGGAGAGGGGACCCCGCGCAGCCTCCCTCGCTCTGAGCTCTCCGTGCGCAGGAACACAAGGAAACGCGAAATGCTAAGTTCAAAAAGAGCCTCACCCTTAAAGAAAACCCTGGCTCTCACAGCTGGAGCCCCACGGTGCGAGGCAGCAGGGATCCTTCCACCGGCTCAAAGGTCAGAAGCTTCTGGCTTCATGACCTTGGGCTGCGGGCACCTAACGTCCCATGCCGTTTTGCTCTCATCTGTAAAGTGGGCAGCACCTTCTGCCTCTTTTAAGTGGCCCGCGACAGCGGGAGCGCGGAGCGCACAACCGGCTGCGTGGTTCTTTTCCCGAGATCCGCAGTGATGGACGATAGAAGCGGTGCACTGCGGCAACCACTGTCCTCCTCCTCCCCCCCAGCACCACCAAAATAAACTTTTAACATACAAACGATAAAAAAAAAAAAAAAAAAAAAGTCTTTCCCACAAAGTTCCGAGCCACTTTCAAGGCCTCTCAGCCTGCTTTTCTTTTCGGCCAAGTTCCCCCGGCGATGCCCGCGGCCTCCACTCCACCCCGCCCCGACTCCCCGCACCCCGCCCCGACTCTCCGTGAGGAGGGAAGTGTCCTCACCACCCTTCCCAGGAAGCGCCTGGCGCCGCGGCCCTGGGCCCGGGGACCCGGAGCGGCCGCGTCCCTCCCCGCGCCCGACCCCCACGGCGGCCCGGGTCTCCCAGCGAGGCGCCACCCGGGGCCCGGCGGGTACGCACCTCGGTGGCCTGCTGCCTCCGGAGCGCCACCTGGGCGGCCATGACGCGCTGGCGCTCCACCACCAGCAGGCAGTTGGCGCACTGGCAGTCGCGCCAGCGGCAGAAGCGCTTGTGGCCCTTGAGGCAGGACACCACGCCGTGGTTGCGGCAGCGCGCACACTTGGGCGTGCGGCTGAGCTTGCGCGGCTCCGCGCCGCCGCCCGC